AAAAAAAAAAATCACAAGCTATGGTTATATCCACCATAATCTCCATCTCAGGATTCAGGTAGTTCATCATCCCCACACTCTCTATTACTGGAAAAGAGCCAAGATTCAGAACTGAAGTCACCAGGGAAAGTATCATACTCTGTGCAGTACGGACCATCACTGCTTCTCACAAGGCATGGGAGAACTTGAACTAAAGAGATAATAAATCCATTCCTCTGTTCATTATAATTTCAGAGGTATTTTTAAACTCAACATTTATTTTCTTCTAATTCTAAAACAAATCACAGCAAGGCAAAGGGCAGATATTATAAAGAATAACAACACGCTCGTTCACACAGGTAATAGGATTTGAAGCATAACTTGACCCCTCTACACTGTAGTCAGGATGGTCTGCAGTCTCTTTTAGATAAGAGACGCATTCAATAGAAGCAGGTAGTTTGTACTCAGACTACCACAAATCAAGGGAGTGTGTGCGCATGCAGCAGTCCTTAGCGGGTAAACAAGCAAACTCTCTAACATAATATACTTTGTAGTTTTTACAAAGCTTACCACCCAAGGAAAATCCCGTTTCTCTTCCAACACCTGTTGAAAGGGTGCACTGTTAACCCTGCTACAAAGGGGATTAAATATTATCAAATTCCTTGTGACACACCCAGGCCTTGTAGTCTTTGGTAACCAAACACCTGCAATCCTCTCACTCAGCTTTTGAATAAAAAAAGCCTAGAACAGACAACAAACTATTTTTTAAAAGAAATCTCCCTTTAAGACACTGAAATCATAAATAGCACTTACTGTTTCTCTCTGCCACAAACGGATCTGTCTCCACCCAGTCAGAAGTCACTTGCCCCAGCTCAGCTCTCACGCGCAGAACAACCGTCCAGCGCCGCTGCTTCAGTGACCAGGGGAAGCTGCACTGGGTCTGAGCCATCCGCGTGCAGTTCATCTCATCCCACTCGTTGAAGGCCCCGCTGCAATTCAAAATGAAAGCTAGACAAAGCTAACAGCACAACTACCTGAAATACAATCCTTATATAACTATGTAACAGTTCTGGGTGCTCTTCACAGCTTCACCCTTGGCTCAGTTTAGTGAAAATATCACAGACTAAGACACTGTCAATCTTCAGGAGCTGCTTTCAGATATACATAAAAGCATCTGTAACAGACAACTCATTCTTTCATTGCTTTATTAATACTTAGCCTTTTTTTTTTTTTCTTAAACTAATTGTGTTACTGGATTACAACAAAATCAGTTTTGTTGCTTTGAGACTTTTTTACTTACGTTTTATACTGGACTGTGTATAAAACCAAGCCTCTATCCACTTCAACAGGAGACCATCTCAGTGAACTATTAAAGTTATAGGAATAAACCATCACATCCCTTGGTGCCGGTAAATGGGGAGAAGATTCTAAAGTAAGAAAAGGAATAAAAATAACTATCAAAGTATTCAAGTATACAGTAACTAACTTTTGGTCTCCACATTCCATCACCATATATATTTTTCACTGCTTTGCAGGCAAAACCATTCCTTCTCATTCTGTTTCTAGGTGCACTAGTAGCAGCTCATTGAAGTCTCTGCTATCCACAAAGCAGTAAATTGCAACTTACTGCTCATATTTATTCCATACAGAACGTAGCACTGAAGTACTGAGCACAGCATAAAACGATGAACCCCACCTAGCTCCCTCAAGGAGCTAGAAATTAGTCTCCACTGCCACTTGTCGTTACAAAGGCTCATCTATTTCAGTTGTCTGCACCTCACATTTAACTGTGTTAACAACACAGAACACATTTTTCCTCATCTGTCTCCTGCTCACTTGTTCGAAAACACTGAGGTCACCTTCACTAAAACTTTCCAGGAAACAAGTTTAAAAAAATACAACAAACCAAGACCAAAATCCTTCCTGTGCTTAAAACATTTGCAAACACATAGTGCAGTGTTCCACTTGCAAGCCCGAATTTTCATAGAATCATAGAATCTTAGGGGCTGGAAGGGACCTCGAGAGATCATCTAGTCCAACCCCCCTGCCAGAGCAGGGTCACCTAGAGTACATCACACAGGAACTCATCCAGGTGGGTTTTGAATGTCTCCAGTGAGGGAGACTCCACAACCTCCCTGGGCAGTCTGTTCCAGTGCTCTGTCACTCTCACAGTAAAAAATTTTTTTCGGATATTCACCTTGAACTTCCTATGCTCCAATTTACACCCATTACCCCTTGTCCTATCACTGGTCATCACCGAGAAAAGCCTAACTCCGTCCCCCTGACACTCACCCATTACATATTTGTAAACATTGATGAGGTCACCCCTCAGTCTCCTTTTCTCCAAGCTAAAGAGACCCAGCTCCCTCAGCCTTTCCTCATAAGGGAGATGTTCCACTCCCTTAATCATCTTCGTAGCTCTGCGCTGGACTCTCTCGAGCAGTTCCCTGTCCTTTTTGAACTGAGGGGCCCAGAACTGGACACAATACTCCAGATGTGGCCTCACCAATGCAGAATAGAGGGGGAGGAGAACCTCTCTTGACCTACTAACCACACCCTTTCTAATGCACCCCAGGATGCCATTGGCCTTCTTGGCCACAAGGGCACATTGCTGGCTCATGGTCATCCTCCTGTCTACCAGGACCCCCAGGTCTCTTTCACCTACACTACTCTCCAGCAGTTCAGCCCCCAACCTGTACTGGGACATGGTGTTGTTCTTCCCCAAATGTAAAACTCTGCACTTCCCCTTGTTGAATTTCATCATGTTTCTCCCCGCCCAACTCTCCAACCTATCTAAGTCTCTCTGAATGGCAGCACAGCCTTCTGGTGTGTCAGCCACTCCTCCCAGCTTAGTGTCATCAGCAAACTTGCTGAGGGTACATTCTATACCCTCATCCAGGTCGTTGATGAAGATGTTGAACAACACCGGTCCCAGTACCGACCCCTGTGGGACTCCACTAGTCACACACCTCCAACCAGATTCTGCCCCATTGACTACAACTCTCTGACTCCTTCCTTTCAACCAGTTCCTAATCCACCTCACTTCCTGATCACCAAACCCATACCTGATCAACTTTTCTACAAGGATGCTGTGGGAGACGGTGTCAAATGCTTTACTGAAATCAAGATAAACCACATCTACCGCTCTACCATCATCTATCCACCTAGTAATTTCCTCATAGAAGGCTATGAGGTTAGTCAAACATGATTTACCCTTGATAAAACCATGCTGACTGCTCTTGATGACCCCCATGTCCTTGATGTGCCTGGAGATAGTCACAAGAACAAGTTGTTCCATCACCTTTCCAGGGATGGAGGTGAGGCTGACCGGTCTATAGTTACCCGGGTCCTCCTTCTTGCCCTTCTTGTAGACTGGAGTGACATTTGCTATCCTCCAGTCCTCAGGCACCTCACCTGTTGCCCATGACTTACTGAAGATGATGGAGAGTGGCCTAGCAATGACCTCCGCCAGCTCCCTCAGCACCCTTGGGTGCATTCCATCTGGACCCATTGATTTATGGATGTCCAGATTACTCAACTGATCCCTAACCCAATCCTCATCTACCATGTCAAACTCTTCCTCTATCTTGACTTCTTCTGGGGCTATATGAACTAACCACACCCTTTCCAATGCACCCCAGGATGCCATTGGCCTTCTTGGCCACAAGGGCACATTGCTGGCTCATGGTCATCCTCCTGTCTTCCAGGACCCCCAGGTCCCTTTCACCTACACTACTCTCCAGCAGATTTTGTCAATTTTGAAACTGATTTCACTATGTAGAAAAGGTCAGAAACCCCTCTTAGAGGCACGTCTCCTGCTAGTAGGATGTCCGCCCAAATTCAGTCATGCTATGAACTCCTGAAGATGAATGAAGACTGCAGGTGCTCCCAAGCAGCTTGTCAGGAGGTGAGCAACATGAAAGCTGAGAGCAGAGTTGTGTCCCTAGTATGGGATATGAATCACTTCCCTTCTGGCCCAAGAAGAGCAGAGGAGGAAGCTGCCTGTTGGGACTGGAGCACAGCCAGACTGGGTAGAGGGGCAGAAAAGCCGAGGGAAGGGAGGACAGGCTAGTAAATGGCACAGAACCAAGGGCTAGGGAAATGGAAGCGGGTGAAGTGAAGAAAGGCAGATGAAAAGTTAAGTGGCAGAGCAGCTGGAGGGAGATGTTAGCTGGCAAACAGGGCAAAACACCAGGCTTGGGAACCAGAAAACACTGAAAGACAAGGAAGCCAGTGGCAAGGCACTGGGCCAGAGAAAAGAAAGCAACAGATTAATGCAAGCAGGCTGAGGGAAGGAAGTCTCTCAGGCCCAAGGTCTCACCCCAAACAGGGTCAGCTATAGCATCAGACCAGGCTGCTCAGGGCTTTCTCCAGGCAGGTCCCAGACTTCCAAGGATGGAGCCTGCAAAGCCTTGCTGGGCAAAGTCTTCAATGCCTACCTGTACTAAGACTGAGAAAGGTTTTCCTTCTACACTTGATTTGTATTTGTCAGTGCAGTGATCACCTTACACCACAGTAAGGGTGGGTCAACTGGTCCTAAGCTGAAAGACAACCATGACATAATATGATATTCCACATGGTAAGATTTCAATTTTTTCTTCTTAAGACAATAGTTTCCTAAAGGTATAATTTGTTTATTTTTACATAAATAAGATCACAAGATCAAGCACTGAAGCTAAATTCCTCTACTTGGGAATAGGAGGATAATAGCTGGTTAAGCTCTCAAAGTTTTAGTTAGGTATGTTACTAGTTTCTTAGCCTCAACTTCTGAGTAGTGCTCTTACATAAATATGCATTGCCTTATGCTACAGATGGATTCAGCACTGCAAACCTGCTGGACATTCTCTTTAAATGATAATCTAAACCATTTATCTCCCACATATTTTAAAGACCACCAAATAACCTTTTCTTCATTCAAGAAAATTTTCACTTTCCACTGGTCTGGCACGTGGCAAGGTATCTCACACCATCAGTAATCTGTGCACTCAGACATCCGATATGAACTAATTTTACAAAATTCAAGAAAGCTGTCAGAACGAAACACAAGCACTAGTTTTGGTTTGGTTTTGTGTTGTTTTCATTTTAATTTCTTATTTCTTCTCCCTCTTAAATAAAAAAAAGGAAAAAATAATCGAAGTAAGGGATGAAGGCCGTTGGTTTATCTTCTCCTCAGACAATCAAGACAGCCCACTGATTATTTTGCCTTATATTAGCATTCAGAAACAGATAATTTTCCCTACCAGCTTCAAAGTCACTGAAAAAATTATCAGATCTATGGCTCTGTAGTTGAACATCAAGGTGTTCTGTGGGCCAAGGCACTTACTACTGCACTGAGGAGCTGATTCCGTAGCACAGTGGAAGAAATATATTCATATATTGGTTACACATCTTAATGCGACAAGGGAAGTTACTTAAATTTCTGAAATCACACACTGAACTTTGTAACAATCTTAAGTTTGTATGACCCAAAGTAAAAAAAAAATGCACTCTTTAGAAAAAAGCACCTACCTATGAAAAACAAAAACCACCTTAGCTGGGGAAAGGCAGAAATGCCCCCGTCCTTTCTCTCTTTCTGGAAGGTGGCCTCACTGAAGTGCCAAACAATGCTCAGATTGTTTTTTCCTGATGCAGGGACTTCCTGACTCTTCAAGCCGCAAGTCAAAGCTTTCACAAAGCAGAGTGTGAAGCCACAAAGTTAGAGCGAATGAGAGCAGCTCAGCCTGGCCCAGCCAGCGGCCTCATAGCCTCCGCGCTTCAATCACTTCTGATCCCTTCTCCTGCATCAGCCTGATAACACACCATTTTTCTAAACTGGCAAAAAAGGACGTCTGGGTTGGCTGTTGTTTGGTTTTGGTTTGGTTTGGTTTTTTTTACAGACTTCTGCGGTTCCAGTGCACCCAACACTGTCAGATGAGCACCACAGCCTGCAACAGGCGAACTCCGGCTCAGATTTTAACGTCTAGCATCTCCGTTGGCAACAGAAGGAACACAGGGCTGAATGCAGAGGGGGAAGAGGCCCCTACACACAAACCCAACACCACAACAGCTCCCTGGGAAACCGACGGGACCGGGCACCACCGCCTGCAGCAGACCCCACCCACGGGCATCTGGACTGGGGAGTCCGGCCCCGGACGGCAGGTCGGGAGTGGCTCCCCCAGGCAGCCCCACGGGGGTCACAGCTCCTCGAGGAACACCCGCGGGGCTCAGGCCGTGCTCACGCCTCCCTCTACACATCTCACAGCTGCTCCTTCTCCGTCCCCGCTCGCCGGGACACATCCTGAGGCCGG